ATACTAACTCACCCAAAAAAGCCAGTTTTAAAGAATAAAAAATGGTTTGACAAGGATTGCGTGCAACTAAAAAAAATCATATAACAACGAATACGGAAAAAGTAAAAATGCCCCTTCTGAGGATTACACTCACTGCTTAAAGCAGATGAAGGCACAATATAAGACTTTTCTAAAAGAAAAGAAAAGGGCGACTCTGAAGGAGTCTTGGCATAGACTAATTGCATCAGTCAGGACAAAAAATACATCCCTTTTTTGGCACATCACCAGAGGACTGGGGAAATCCCCCCTACCTCCAACTAATCAGGTACCGATTCATGCCTAGGAAGAATATTTTAGAGAGCTATATGCAAACCCCGACTATGTAACTAATGAGAGCCAAATTAATTTGGACCAAACCCTTTATTGGCCCCGTTACACCAGGCGAGGTATCCCGATTGATTGGAGCCCTCAAGGCTAATAAGGCACCTGGTGCTGACAATGTCCTGCCAGAAATAATAAAAAATAATCCCAGTTGGTGGGCTCCACTTTTAGCATCTCTGTTTACATTTATAGATAGAACGGGCCATATGCCAAGAGATTGAGGATTAGCAATTATCATACTAATCTATAAAAAAGATAGTAGAAATGACCCAGGCAATTATAGACCCATTAGTCTTCTGAGTGTTATTAGTAAAATGTATGCCAAATACCTAAACTATAAACTTCAGGACTGGCTAATTTCGGGGGGGGGGGGGATAATTAAAGATGAACAAGCCGGTTTTAGAGAAGAAAGATCAACGATGGATACAGGAAGATTTGGACAGACTTGAACATTGGGCGCTATCTAACAAAATGAAATTCAATGGTGAAAAAAGCAAGGATCTACATTTAGACAAGAAAAACCAAATGTATAGTATAGGGGGTACCTTGCTCAATAGTAGTAACTGTGAGAGGGATCTCGGAGTCCTAGTGGACAATCATTTAAATATGAGCCAGCAGTGTGCTGCAGCTACCAAAAAAGCCAACACAGTGCTAGGCTGCATTAACAGAGGAATAGAATCAAGATCACGTGAAGTATTAATACAACTTTACAACGCCTTGGTAAGGCCATACTTGGAATACTGCATCCAGTTTTGGTCACCACAATGTAAAAAAGATGTTGAGAGTCTAGAATGAGTACAGAGAAGAGCAACAAAGATGATTAGGGGACTGGAGGCTAAAACATATAAGGAACGGTTGCTGGAATTTGGTATGTCTAGCTTAATGAAGAGAAGGACAAGGAGGGACATGATAGCAGTGTTCCAATATCTCAGGGGCTGCCACAAAGAAGAGGAAGTCATGCTATTTTCCAAAGCTCCTGAAGGCAGGACAAGAAGCGACGAATGGAAACTAATCAAGGAGAAAAGCAACTTAGAACTAAGGAGAAACTTCCTGACAGTTAGAACAATCTGCCTCCAGAAGCGGTGAATGCTCCAACATTGGAAGTTTTTAAGAAGAAACTGGACAGTCATTTGTCCAAAATGGTATAGGGTTACCTGCCTGAGCAGGGGGTTGGACTTGATGACCTCCAAGGTCCCTTCCAACTTTATTTATTATCATCATCATCATCATCTTGGTACTTCACCATCTAGTACCAAAATACACATATAAAAAAAATCCTCTTTTTGTGGCTTTGAGTTTAAGCAGGCCTTCGACTCAATATCTAGGAACACCCTATGGGAGAAATTAAAAGGTACTACTATCGATAAATGCCTCCTTTTCCTCATAGAAAAATTGTATGCCAATTCCACCTTGAAAGTGAGGTGTAATCCTCAAGGGACTTTAACCGGCTCAGTAAGGGTACAAAAAGGGGTATGGCAGGGTTGCATCCTGTCCCCCTTCCTTTTTAACTTCTATATCAACCCCCTGATCGATCTCTTACAGAACCTTGATCTGCATCCGCTCAACCTAGCACATCGCAAGATCCCGATTCTTCTACATGCCGATGATGCGGTCATTATTTCACAAACTCCTGTAGGACTGAAGAGAGCAATTAGGGCAACACTTGGCTATTGCAGACAAAACAAGTTGGTCCTTAACTTTGATAAATCAAAAATTTTAGATTTTGCTAAAAGACCCAGCCAATACTCCTGGAAAATAGAAAGACATAGTTTGGAACAGGTTAGAACATTTAGATACCTTGGGGTGGTTTTCCATTCACAAGGGACATGGAAGGCATACCTGGATCATACATTGCAAAAAGCCAATAGGTCCTTAAATGCAATTAAACATTACTTTTACATAGGCAGAGGTCAATTAGTACCTGCTGCCTTAAAACTTTTTGAGGCCAAAACATTGGCGCAAATTCTATATGGGGCACAAACAGGAATCCCTGCAAAGAAAAACTTGCTAGAAACCATACAAACCAAATTCCTGCGAGCCATCTTAGCTGCACTCAAAGGAACCCCAAATGCCCAATTAAGAATTGAGACAGGCATGCCTCAAATTCAGGTAAGAGCCTGGAAGATGATGATCATTCACTGGCTTAAAATGCATTTCTTTCCAGAGGGGCTGTCCCCATTAGTGCTGGCTGACAACTTCCCCTTCCCCTGGAAGCAGGCGATAGATCATAAACTGGACTCTCTTCGGTATTCTTAATGTCCCTAGGCTAACCAAGCAAAGCAAGTAGTATTCAATAGAATGAAGGACATAGAGTTCTAAGAAAAACTAAATAGGTTGCCTCGCCACAGTAGAGATATAATCAAACAGGGTGTGTGGGAATTGGCAAGATACCTGAATGATCTGACCTTCCCAAAACAAAGAATAGCTTTTTTCAGAGCCAGATTTAACAATCTTCCCTCAGCACTCCTCCAGGGCAGGTATAAGAGAACACCAATAGCAGAATGGGTATGTATATGTGGTAAAGGAGAAGTCAAAGATATTGCACGTTTTATTGTATTGTGAGTTATACCGAGTTTATAGGTCAGCATATATTCTTTCCCTATTAGAGAGATTGCCAGGGAGGGCAGACAATTTTTATGTAAGCTTTCTCTTCCAGGACTCAAACCCTTCTATCACGCATGCAGTGGCAAAATACTGTGTTGCTGCAATGTCCACAAGAAAAAAATATAGTTAGAGATTTATAGCCGTCAACTTGTGCCAATTTTTTGGAGATATCTCTAATAATTTTTGGAACATTATATTTACTCACATACGTATCGGCTTTTCACTCACGTAAACTAGGGAATGACCCTAACATTTTGAGAACATGTATTTTCTTAACAGGGATGTTATTATTTACCATTAATTTCAGTACTATTTTTATTTTTTTTAACATATTGTAAAAAGTGACGTCTATTGCTGGTCTATGACCGTAATAAAGTTGTTGTTGTTGTTGTTATTATTATTATTACTATTATTAGATTGTGAAAAGAATATACAATGGTGTTGATATTATTTAGCTATTTTTAATATTCCTATTTTCTTCCTAAGGTGGAAGCTGTATGACAACTGTACAGAGAATGAACATTTCATTTGGGATATGGATTAATGACAAATTTAAGTAATATCTATGGAGTATCTATAAACGTATTCATCTGGAATTCTGTCCCAATTCAAACAATTTATCAATTTCCACTGTATGTAGATTTCGATCACAGAAGGTATAGCAATAGTATTCTAATTATTAAAAATTTTAAATGCTCTAAACCGGATGGACATGTTCCAGCTAATTGTTTCCATTAAAAACAGAAGCAGTATTTAGACTATGATCTTAGTTTAGAATTTATCTATACACATAACCACACACATTTGTATAGCAGTTTTTCAGAGAAGTTTACAAGAAAGTCAACAACACATAAGAATAAATACAAACACTTAAAACCAATGTCTTTAAAAAATAGCAAACCAAAATAATACATAAATTGAGGTATAGTCTTACTGTCAGACCCCAAAACTCCTCATCTGCTCTCTCCTTTCTTCTATCCTTTTGGGGCCTGCCATTCTTGTTGGGGGGAGGGGGTGCATGGGGGATTCATAGTGTTAACTTTCACTTTCTCCTTTCTTTGTCTGGCCTCCTTTTGAGTATGGAATGTGTGACCTTGAGATGTGTACCTACCGTGCCAGTCAGCCGCCCACCAGGCCACCTGTGGATTGGCTGGATTTCAAATTGACATTATGACTTTGGTGGGAGGGGGCATATTGCTTGTTTAATTATCTTGTTCACGCGGGCTTTTCTTCAGAACTCGACTTAAATTCCCTGCTATCACTAGTCCCTAATAAAAGTTTCCTTTTGAGACAATGCCTATTTCAAGAGTTCTGCTTTCTTGGGTGATTAGTTGAAGTGGGTCCTGACACTTACACTGAATAATTATAAATCAATTTTTAATCAATATATGAACAAGTGTACCTTCCATTGTTTTCTATGGAACAGTTAAATTCTTTTCATGAGAGAGTTCATATGAGTTCCTATTACTAAGACTTTACCCCTTGACATGACGCTGAATCAACCCATCAGCAGAAAAATACTTCCCAGCAGAACGTAATGCACAAGTTTGACACATCTTGTCGGATGAGTCAGACCATCCTTGCCAATAGGTTCAGAAAGTTACAGACAATGAAATACTTTCAGGAACAGAATTATTTAGTCAAGTGGCCCAAGATACCTTATGAACTAGTTTCTTCAAAATGTTTGAAAGACAAAATTTGCTGTTAGGTATAATGTATATTACATAGCTTTGAACCAATAACCTATACTAATCGAATATACCACTTTTAAAATATTATTGGCATTTGCACAGTATTTCTAAAAATGCACTTTGGAATAGATTCCTATTTTATTAAAGTATGCTGGTATAAAATATGAGCAGGGCAAGAATTGAATTTAAAAACAGTAATTTTAGTAGGGATAAAATTATAAGTAGAGTATTTAGAAATAGAATATCTATTTCCTAGATTTTATTTTGAACTACCAAGTTCTATATATGGGTATTTGTTCTGCACTGAAACAAAACACAATCAAGTTGTGCTGCATAAACATTTACCTTTATAACGCTGCAGTAATCTGTTTATTCGAATATCCCAAAACTTCACTGTGTGATCAGAACCAGCAGAAACTATACATGTACCATCAGGATTAAAATCTACGTAGTTTGCAAAACTATAAACAAAATTAAAAATAATGGTAGTTATTGTGAAGGAATCATCTGTTTATTTCAATGAATTCTTAAGGTATCTTTGCCACACAAGCAGTCCCATTCTGTTTTCCCACATTTGTGTAAAATAAATAATCCTGAGATATATTAATATCTTTATTATTAAATATCTCAACTTGGATCTCCCTTGCCAAATTCTCTCATCTTGCCTGTAAGATAGCATTCAGGTATCAAAAGAAATATTCCTTTTTATGTTATCAACTTGTAGATATTTACTAAATGGAAGTACTAATGTACCTAGGTCCTTCTAGATATTTTGAATTACAATTCCTACCAACCTTAATGGAGAATAGTTAAGAAAGGAACTCAAGATATGAGAAGCTGCACGAGAGCCTCCTAAATATTATATGCTATCTTGAGCATTAAATGCCAGTACAAAGCAAGTTGTATTTATGAAAAGTTGCTCATGAAAATTACCACTTTTTAAAAACTGAAATAATAGAAAAATAGAATCACAGGACTGGAAGGGTCTTTGAACATCTTTTAATCCAACCCTCTGCCCAAGGCAGTAGTGCCTATACCATTCTGGATAAATGGTTGTCCATTTTTTCTTGAAAACCTGAAGCAATGGAGCACCCACAATCCTGGGAGGCAAGCTGTTCCACTATCTATTGAAATTATTAGTCATCCAGGTCACGGTTGTCCCAAAGATACTTTTCAAGAGAGAACTAGACTTGTTTTTCTTTAAAAACATTTCACTTCTCCTTCAAGAAGCTTCTTCAGCTCTGACCAGATGGTGAGGAATGGAAGGATTTATATTCCTTGCAGATAGCCGGTCATTTGCATTCTTTTAGAGAGTTATTGAGGCCATTTGGAGGTTTGTCTGGGTCCTCAGGGTCACCTGAAGAGCGCAAATGGGTGTGGAGCTTTCTTGGAACTGCTGAAAGGACTGTGTTGTGTAGCTGCGCTTTCTGCAGGATGTTTTCTGCCCTGCAGCCTTTCACTGTTGAACACAGGCACAGGCTGTTGGGGGTGAGTTTGTGTTTGCATCTCAAACTGACTGAAGCGCAAATGGTTCCTGTAGTCTGCAATTTTTCTGAAAATCCATTCATACTCCCACACCATTCAAAGGGTGTTCATCTCAAAGTACATAGCTAAATGTCTGTGGAGATTCTCAGTCATTCAGGTCATGGTTGCCCAAGGTGCTCTTTCAGAAGACAACTGGACTTTGGGTTTTTTTGGAGATGTTTCGCTTCTTATCCAAGAAGCTTTTTCAGCTCTGACTAGATCAGTGGTGGCGAACCTATGGCATGCGTGCCAAAGGCGGCAATCAGAGCCCTCTCTGTGGGCACGCGCACCATGCCCCGGAGATGGCAACCGTCCCTCTTCAAACAGATGCTCGCTAACTTGCCAAGGTCCCATGTGGCCAGATGCATCCCAGCATGGCTGGTTTCCCTCCCCCCCATCCCATCCCTCCTGGCCTCGCATGCTCTCCTTTTCCTGGGCACAACCCACTGCATTGCCTCCTCAACTGTTGGCCGGCCATCCAACTCAGAGGTGGCTTCTCTGAACTGCTGGTGGAAGGCTGCGGAGTGTGCCCCAGAGTGTGCCGATCGAGGGGCCGGCAGGCTATGACTGCTGACGGACACTGTCGGCCCCCATGTGCTCACTGGCCTGTGTGTGCAGGGGCTGATAGTGTCAGGCAGCCGATGCCCCGGCCCCTGCCTTGCCTTGCCCTGCGACAATGGCATCCCCGCCCTGCCCTGCCTTGCCTCATCCCGCAGGATGAGCCTCCTACCTACCACCCCACCTGCCAGAGACCCCCTGGATCTCCCCCAACCTGCCCAGCCCCCACAGGCATCAACGAGGTGATCACGCCCAACTTGGCCACACCCACCCAGTCTGCCATGACCACCACAGCCACGCCCATCCAGTGGGCCACGCCCACCTGGCATCCAGCAATAAATAAGTGGGTTTTAGGTTGCAGTTTGGGCACTTGGTCTCTAAAAGGTTTGCCATCTCTGGACTAGATGGTGGGGAATGGAAGGATACAACATTGAAGGGACACAGGGCAGAAAGCATAGCTCCACAACACAGTCCTTTCAACAGTTCCAAGAAGGCGCCACACCAATTTGTGACCCTGTGTATGACCCTGAGGACACAGACAAACATCCACGTGGCCTCAATGACTTTCTAAAATAATGCAAATGACCAGCTGTCTGCAAGGAATATAAATCCTTCCATTCCCCACTATCTAAGAGATTTAGAAGCTTTTTGGATGAGAAGCAAAACGTCTTCAAAGAAAAACAATTAAGTCCACTTGCTTCTTGAAAATGTACTTTTGGGACAAGCTGTTTTATTGACTGTTATTAGAAATATTCTTAGTTCCAGGATGAATCTCCCTCTAACAAGCATCTACCCATTGCTTCTTGTCCTGCCCTCAGTTCTATGGAGAATAAATCAACCCTCTCTTCCCTGTGACAACCCTTTAAGTATTGGACGACAACTATCAAGTCACCTCAAGCTTTCTCTGTATTAAACTAAACGTACCTAGTTCCCTTAGCTGTTCACCATACAATTTGACCTACAGACCCTTTATAATCTTTGTTGTTCTTTTCTACACTGTTTCTAGGGTTTCAGTATCTTTTTTATAGTGTGACCAGAACTGGGTACAGTATTCCAAGTGTGGCCCCACTAGTGCAGTATAGAATGGTACTATCTTTCTGAATCTTGAGTTGATCTTCCAAAGTGTTGGCAATTCCCTTTGGTGTTATCTGCAAATTTGCAAACTATATTATGTGTGCATATGCATGCTCCAGACCAATTTCAACTCAGGACTGAACATAATGGGGCATTAGATGTTCTATCAGCCATAACCAAGGAAGAAAACCTGAGCCAGTCTGAAAGAGAATACGGCCATTGCATTTTTTTGCTGTTTCCTTATATCTAAAGTAGGATTCCAATATTGTAGAGAGCAGAGCATTTAACAAAAGATACACTTAAGACCAACATTATAGATTTAAACATACATATATAATTAAAGAATCTTAGACAATAATATTCAAAAGTATAGAAAAATGTTCTATTTCAATGTACTTCCAATCTCAAGCCACTGAATGGTCAGGAGAAAGAAGAAGGAATTGAGGTGACCTTGTCTTGTCACCTCAATAATCTTTGCTTATGTTTAAGGAATAAGTAGCTGGGATATTTGGGGCTTCCGGTTTTGCGCAGTAGCGCAAATAGCCAAGGGAGCGTGGGGCTCCGCACCCTATGGCCGATTCTTTTCTGTTTGGGGACCCTAAATGGACCTGAATTCGCCCCAGAGAGGCAACAAAAAAGGTGGGAAGCCCCGCCGACCGTGTAGAGATGGCGGTCGATCCGGTCATTTAGGGAAAGCCCTCCAGAAACCAGCAGAAGAAAAGCTAGCTTCACTTCAGAGTCTAGCCCAAGTTATAAGCAGCCGAAGCCAAAAAGCACTAATTTAAGCTTGATCGTAAACAACATGTTCAGAACTGGGTAAGAATATTGATTTTCTCTCTTCTACTTAATATTTGATTTCCTGGAAAAAAGAAAAAAAACCTAAGAAGCAAAAATCCTCCGAAAGTAAGGAGGGGGATTCTTGGCCCCCCTCCCACAGAAGGAAGCGGTGAATTAAACTTTTATGGGGGACAGAAATATATTGAAATGAAATGAATATAAGACTTAAATCTGGATAAGTTTGAAATTGGTGGAATTTGTTAAGATTTTCTCTTCAAAAGATTATTGATGAAAATAGAAGAAAGTAATTGTTTGTTCTGAAAACTGAAAAAATGAACTGGTGTTGACATCTAGTGGTGGATGAAAATATACAACTGTAGGTGCTCTAATACAGGAACTGACAGAAAGCCCAGTAAAAGATAGCTTGTTTTTGTGACCTTCAATGTCTTAACTAAACAGAACAGCTGAAACAAAAAGAAAATATTTTGGGCTATCTACAAGGTAAGAACTATAAACTTTAGGAAAAAAAATTGACCTTCCTGGACGATGTGGTTGTTAAATACTAGAAAAATATTTATATTCAATTGTTATCTACCAAAATATTAAGAAATGTAAAAGTAGCTGGGATGTTTGATAAACAAAAAGGAATTGCTGTTGTATGGTGTTTACAGAAAGTCCTGGTCACAACTTGGAAAAATTAAGTAACAAGGTAGCACAATCAAAATAAAAGGAACCAGCAGTTTAGTTTTTGTGCTGGTTCAACCACTACCTGCTGTTATAGCTATAATTATCAATAACATATTTTCCTTTGTTTTTAAATAAATATAACTTACCCATCATAATCTATTATATTATTAATACATATCTTGTTTCTTATATCCCAGATTTTAACAGTTTTATCTTCACTGCAAGACACTACTAATCTTCCATCTGGTGAATATCTAGAAAGAAAAAAAGAGAGGTGGGAAGATCTGCATATTTAGAAATAATATTTAAATGATCTTCAGTTGTAAAATTGGTGATAATACAGTATACAAGCATTAAGGAATTGACACTGAACTGGTCCATCCAACTACCATTTACGGCTGTGCTGAAAATAGCTAGAGCTCATAAGTACAGCTCATAAGGACGTGCTCTAGTGGAATGGGACAAATCACCACAGCTAACTCACCATGGCCAATTCGCCTGTCAACTCGTTGCGGGACAACTCACCATCATCAACTGGCCACGGGACAACACACTGCAGGATAATTCAACAATTCAATTTAATTATTTAAAATAATTAAAAAATATTTTATTTTTTGTCATCCACATTTTGTTTTGTCCCTCCTTTGGCATCCTTTCTTTAATGATTCTATTGTACTGTTTCTTCGATATTATTGTAACTCTTGTACTGTGGCGAGTTGGCCATGGTGAGTTGACTGTGGGGAGTTGGCTGTGGTGAATTGTCATAGTCACCTCCCTAGTCATCTCCCATTTAGACTATTGTGATGCATTTTACAGGGGGACTACCCTTCAAGGTATCTGTAAGCAGCAGCTGGTGAAAAATGCATTGACCTACACAATTATGTATGTTCTTAAAAGGATACATGTTAACAATTCTGCTTTGTGAGTGGTCTGCTTCAGGGTCCAATTCAAAGTGCTTGTTTTGACTTTTAAAGCCCTAAAATGCACCAAGGTTATCTGAGGGATTGCCTCTTCCTGATTACATTTCCCTGTCTGATCAAGTCTGGCAGGAGAAGCATGTTACAGATTCCATCTGCAAAGGAATTCCACTTGACAGGACCTAGGACGCAAGCCTTTTCTCAGTCTCTGGAACATCATCCCTCTAGAGATTAGGTGAGCTCTAACTCTCATGACCTTCCAGAAAATCCTTAAAATGTGTTTACTTTAACAAACCTGGGGATCCCCTGGTAATAGGGAGTATGCAGGTTGACTGTATTATGTGTAAGATTCACATTCTTGTGATTTTGTTTCTATCGTTATTTATTGTTTTAATCATTTTTAATTGTTTTTATAGTATGCTTTTGATTTTATGTTACCCATATGGTGACCATATACAGCATATGTAATAAATAAATAAATACACTATTTGCTCACATTACCTGTTTTATTTGGGGATAACTTCAGATATTCAATACATGACAAGTAAAAGACCATACCTATTTGTTTGTTTGCATCCAACTTTTTTCCCATGTTAGAATTCAGGGCAATGATTCTGAGACAATCTCCCACAAAGCCCTTTCTACGTATAATCTAGGTACGCTTCAGCAAAGATGCTGCACCCATATCTTCACTATACATTTTGAGATCATTATCAATGAGAGCAATTATCTTTAGGAAGGTAATGAATTAAAAACTTACTTTGCACAACGCACCCAGTGTGTATGCTGGGATAAAGAAAACAAAAGATGTTGGCTGCAAATGCTCCACACTTTCACTGACTTGTCATTAGATGCAGTGACTAGAAACTGACTATCATTTGAGAAGTTCACACTGCGGACAGGAGCAGTATGGCCCTTTAATGATGTGGATTCACCATGGCTATAAAGAAATTAAAAAAATATATGTTTTCACAAAAACTAATCATATGAGTTTAAAATAATATAGATTCCAGCCTCAATCTATCTTGTTTAAAGTGATGCATTCTCAAAAGACCTTTATTTCATGTCTGATACGGTATGTTTCTGTGAACAATCATAGAATTCTTTCACAAATAATATAATTAATAATATTAGTATTATATTAATTGTTTTAAGATGAGAATAAGCTTAGGCACGCTCTAACAAAATGCTATTGCTAAAAACATACAGGTAGTTGTGAACATACAACCACAATAGGGCATGGAATTTCAGTTATAAGTCACTGCTATTGTAAGTCGAGGCACTACGTGACTGGATTAGATTTTATGACCATTTTACAATGGCTGTAGAATGAGTCAGTATAGTCACTAAGTGAATCATCTGATTGTTAAGCAAATCCAGCATATCTAATAGGTGTTTTTTGCCATTTTCTCCAAGAGAACAGCAAAAATCATTACAAATCAGTTACAGTATGTGACTGCAGGACATTGCAATTTGTTGTAAATATGCGAGCCAGTTGCCAAGCATCGAAAATGAGATCATATGACCACGGGGAAGGGAAAGTATGGCAGCCTTAACTTTAAGGACGGGTCTTAAGTGGCTTTTTAAAAGTTCTTTGTAATTTTGGTCATTAAGTGAAGACTACCTTTATTTCCACTCTGTTTTAACAAAGGCTAAAGTACTTATTTGTTATTCCAAAGTGTACAATTTGTGACCCTCAATAATTTCTTTGCAATTTTTAGAGATTCCTTTCCAAATATGCTGCCAAACTTTGGTAATATGGATTTCTGCAATTTTGAGGCATGCAAATATTTTTAAAAAATGTATATTGCATGCATTGACTATATTGGAAAAATGGCCTCAAAATTTCAAACAATACAAGCCTGGGCCATGGGAATTTCATCATCTTATCTCATCATCTTAAAATCCTCACCCCCACAAATATTAAACAAGTTCCCCTGCACTAAAGCCTCATACATTTTGACTTATGGGGTTAACAGAGGATATTTTATCACTTCTTGATCCAGAAATGTATATAAAATAGATAGCTAAAAAAGATATTTTCCAGAATCACTTTAGGAGTTTCTTCTTTAAATTAGCTTTTAGCTAATTTAGCTTTCCTATTAGAGAAATTGGCTAAGTCACTTTTATGTAAAATAAGTATAATTGAAACAAAATAAATGGAACCAATGCCACTTACATGCAAGGAATCCATAGTCTGGCAGTTCGGTCTTCAGAAGCAGATGCCAACAGGTATCCATCTGGTGAAAACTGCACACTAGTTACAGCTTCTAAATGACCCACAAACCTGAAGGCTTTTGAATTTGGCCTCAAATTCCACATCATGAGAAACCTATCCAGAGAAGAGGTGGCTACAAAGAAGGAATTATAAAGCTTTAAATCAAAAAGTAAGTTGATGTAGAAATCCGACATAGATATCAGCACATCAATTATTACTTTTCCGCTTTCGGTTTTGCGCAGTAGCCCAGTAGCCAAGAGATCACGGGGCTCCACACCCTACGGATGATTTCTGCCTATTAGGGGACCCTAAATGGGTCTGAAGTCACCCCGTAGAGGCGAAAGAAGGAGGGAAGTCCTGCTGAGTGCGAAGAGATGGCAGTTGATCCAATCGGTTTGGGAAAAGCTTTCCAGAAACCAGCAGGAGAAATGCTAGCTTAATTTCAGAGTCTAGCCCAAGCTACAAGCAGCCGAAGCCCAAAAGCACTATTTTAAGCTGACTGTAAACAACATGCTTGGAACTGGGTAAGAACAGTGATTTTCTCTCTTCTACTTGATAATTGATTTCCTCAGGAAAAAAAACCCAAGAAGTAAAAAGCCTCTGAAAGTGAGAAGGAGGGGGATCTTTGCCCCACCTTCCAACAGATGGACGCGGCAAATTAAACCTTTAAGTGGGGACAGAAATATACTGAAATGAAACGAATATAAGACCTAAATCTGGATAAGTTTGAAATTAGTGGAATGTGTTAAGATTTCTTTTTTAAATCATGAAAATAGAAGAAAACAATTGTTTATTTTGAAAACTGAAAAACAAACTAGTGCTCATATCTTGTGGTGGATGAAAATATAGTAGTTGCTTCAATATAGGAACTGGCAAAACCCAGGAAAAGATGACTTGTTTTTGGTGACCATTAATGACTTAATAACAGAGAACAGCTGTGACAAAAAAAGAAAACATCTTGGGCTACCTACAAAGCAAGAATTATAAACTTTAGAAGAAAAAAAATGACCTTTCTGGATCACAAATACTTATTCAACTGTGACTTTAAAGCTGTTTGCAGAGAAAGGAAAACCCTGATTTTTGACTATCATGGAAAACCAGAGATCTGCAGAAAGAACATACCAAGAAAAAACAAATACTTTCTAGGAGAAGATGTATGCTATGCTGCAACTAATTCAAACATCAATGATCTCAAACCACGAGGAAATTAAAAATAACTTTGAAAATATAAATGAATACATCTCCAATTTAACTTTACAACAAAAAACTCTCAGAAAATAAAAATAGAAAGTGAACAGATAAAACAGACAACTGGTGAACCAGAGAAGAGAGATTTAAAGATGGAACCTAACAACAGAAGGAAGTATGACTCAACCTAGGTGGAAAAAAACTTACAGGAAATAATGGACATGGAAAAGATAACTTATACTCTAAGATCACAAAATAAGTCTGAGAACAAGAAAAAAGATTTGACAAAATGGATTACAGAACTACGAAAATTTAAGAGACAAAAAATGATAAGAGAAATTAAAAGAGAGAGAAAGGAAAAAAAATTCAATGAATATGAAGGGGCAAAACCTTCCTATAAAAACATCTCACCTGATTTGCCTTTTGTACCTACAACAAAATCCACAAGATTATGGGAAGACTCTTTGATTCAGAGAAACATATTGATCAGGAAAGATTTTTGGCAAAAAAAAAATCAAGAAATTAGATGACGGGATCTATCAGAGGGAATATTTGAAAATTAAACATCTGTTTGAATATGGTTAAAGAAATAGAAAGATTTTGGATATAAATGAATTTTAGTTTAAGAGGGATGAGCCCCTCAAGTAATACAATATTTTTTCTTTCTTTTTTTCCTTTGTATTTTGTTTTTTGACATGAGAAATATAAAAATGTTGGGATGGTTTATATAAAGAAAATGTTTTAGATACTTAAGTGAAACTGATCTTGAGAAAACTTCCAATGGATAGAAATGTTTTGATTAGATCTAAAAGATTAGATAATTGGATTTATTAAATGGAATACTTAAAGATTAAACATATGCTTGAATATGGTTAAAAAGAAGAGAAAAATTCTGGATATAAATGTACATTAGTCTAAGAGGGATATGTATTTTAAGCAGAATACTATCTTCTTATTTCTTTCTTTTTTTTAAGATACGAGAAATGTAAAAGTGTTGGGATGGCCTATATGAGGAAAAAGACTTAAATATTTAAGTGCAATTAAAATCTTAACCAGTAAGAATGTTTTGAATATTGTGGAGAAAACAAATTTAAATAAGAATTTTAAACAGGATCTATGATAAGGTAATCAAGATGATTATTTGGAAAAGAAGCTTTATATCAATGTGGTTATTATTGGCAGAAATATTAGAAAAATGTTTATATTAAATTGTTATTTATCCAAATAATAAGAATTGTATTAATTCAAGTTGGCAAAAGAGAACATTTTTGGAAGAAGAGAACATCAAGCAAAGCTATTATGTGAACTATAGAATTATAGAAACTAATTGTTATTGTTTTTAAATATAAACCCAGACAACACAATGTTTACCAAATATTAAGGTGATTATGTAAAAAAATAATAAAACATATATTTTTTAAAAGTATTATTTTTCCACTTGGTCTACCTATTTCCAGATTGAAAACTGATTGTCTACCCTGAAACTACTAGATTCTCAAACGATTTTGCTCAGGAACATCCCACCTAATTTATAGGGCATAAAGTCCTTCCATTATTTATAATGCTTTTGATTTTGTTATTATTTTTAGTATACAATATATTTAGTTATTAGTTAGTTATAGGGCCTCACAAAGGGCCAGAAGCTGCCTCTGCTGGGAACACCTTATTGGTAGCAATGGGGAGAAGATAGCAAAAGTGACTGGGGCCCTCAGGGGAGTTGCAGGGTTAGGCTTTGAGTGCAGGATGGCCAAAAAGACAGAAATAATTAAGAGTGGGGATGGAGGCTTGTGTGACAGAGAAGGAGAAGCGTGAGGTCTTTACTTAATGACTGTAACTAGGACTACTACTGGTATAACTGCCATTGCTAAGCATTTTGGTCACGTGATGTTTTGTCTAATGATTGTTCGCTTAGTGATGGAACTTCTGGTCCCAATTAGAGTAATTAAATAAGGACTACCTATAATATTGTTTATTTTGAAAAGAAATAGTGTCATCATCTGTCTATCATCTGTGTTGCTGAATTTACATTGACAAATACCAAATGATTAAAATCTGGATATAAGAACGTCATATTTAGGATGTATTATTACAAGAAAAACTTCAGGATATATTATTATATCCTAATAATTATCCTAATATAATAATTATTATATCCTAATAAATAGAAACAGGGAGATCATGAGTTCTTGTCCAGTCTATTGGCACCTCTTGCCTTGGAGTTATAATTGTCTTAAAGTATGGACTTCAGCAAGTAGCATGGTTACATTTGTTTTTAATCTATAGAGAGAATATTATGAGATCAAAGAATTAACATTTACAGATATGCTTCAGGTGGACTTACCAAGCATTTTAGTATTTGGACTGAAAGCAACGCAAGTGACTGCATCTTTGTGACCTTTAAAATGACGAATCAAAACAGGATCTTCCTATAGTAGAGAAATATATACAAATATGTATATTCATTTTTATAATATTTAACTCTAAGGTGGATTTTTATACTATTACATTTGCTGTTTTTATATTTGTTTTTTTCAACTGTTGTATGCTGCCCAGAGTCACTTTTTGTCAAATGGGCAGTTCATAAATTTGATAAAGAACTATTATTTAAATACTAATTTGATATAGTAATATATTGCCGAAGAGTTAGAACATGAAGATGCTACAATCCATCTTTTGTTTCAACCCTTTTCTTATATCCCACATGAGACCAATAGAATCCAAATGAGTAATTAGCATCTTTTGCTTTTATTCACTGTAAAAAACTAGGGGCCAACAGAATGCCCCAGAAAATCAGGACCTTCAATGCTGGCCAAATACCAAGCATTTCTCAGTTTCCCAAGGTTGGGGAAAGATTTCTTTCAGATATATCATAATGTATCACTAGCAGTGCTCCTACTGATGATAAAAGATATATTGAACTCCCTCTATATGAATGGGATTGCCCTTGCTGTTTAATGGCAATTGAAACACATGCCTATGTATTACCATATTTTATTTTCCATAGCTCCTCAAGTCCTTATTGTGTGCTGGGAGTATATGTGAAGAGTTATAAATTCCCAGCAGGGTCACCTAAGGGATGAAGGTCATTCAGCTGCTCAAATAAAGAAAGAAGGTACTTATATTGGACAGCTCAAAATAGGAATATATTGGAGAGAGAGAGACAATGACAAAAGCATCCATTCATACAGTGCAGAACAAGGTAAACCACTCCTTTACTTTACCAAGAATAGAATAGAGATGAATATGAGTAAAAATACAGGAATAAAAAAATAAAATGATTAATAATACAGTGCAGGATAATGGATCCCTCATCTTAGATGGCACTCAGCATGTTACTAAAGGTAAAGCTGAAGATCTTTCAAAGATGGGTAGTCTTCGACTTATGACCATAATTGAGTCCAATATTTTTGTTGCTAAGTGAGACATTTGTTAAATGAGTTTTGTCCCATTTTACCACCTTCCTTGCCATTGTTGTTAAATGAATCACTGAGTTGTTAGGTTAGTAACACAATTGCTAAGTGAATCTGGCTTTCCCATTGACTTTGTTTGTCAGAAGGTTGCAAAAATAATCACATGACCCCAGGGCACTGAATTTTGATCACGTGACCATAGGGATGCTGCAACAGTCATAAGTGTGAAAATGGTCATAAATCACTTTTTTCAATGCTGTTATAAATTCAAATTGTCATTGAATGGTTGTAAGTGGAGGACTACCTGTACTGTCTAAAATGTGGTTAGATTAAAGCCTTTTGGACTTCTACTTGTTGACGTTACCATAGAGGAAAAGACAATCTAAATCTGCAAAGACAGAATTATAGTAGGTACATGGAAGGTAAGGAGCATGAAAAGAGGAAAGCTCAACACAATGGAAGTTGAAATGAAACAACTACAAATTAACATTTTAGGTACCAGCAAATTGAGATGGACTTTTAATCAAAATATAATATTATTTACTACTCAGGTTATAAAAAACAAAGATGGAATTACATTTTTATCTTTGGGAAGGATATTGGCTCCAATGCAATCAGTATTCAAATATTTATCAATTAAATATCAAAATAACATTTCTATGCTGCACTATCTGGGGAGACAGAAAGAAGTGAACTTCACAATCAGCATTAATGAGAAATAAAATATGGCTTCTATTTAAAGGAAGAGCAACTATTTTTTCCTTCTTCACCAGATGATATAGAAAACTGGATTGTGTAAACATAGTCCTAACATCACATAGCCAAGAATGACAAATGAGTGAGTGAGGGAGTAATATGCAACTTTTTTATGACCAACCCTACATGTGGAACTGCCAAGAAAAAAAAAAAGAGAGGAGGCAACATGATTCCTTTTGTAGTGGTAGCTAAGGCAGTTAAGCAGGAAGACAAAGTTGGAGCTGTTGGTATCTTTTGATTGCAAGTAGCATGACTGATTAAAAAACTGGAAATTAAATTTTTAAAAGATTTCTGGATTAGTTGCTTTTCCTCTATTGCACAGCAAAAATAAAATAGAAAACTAAAATCTAAAATTTCATGGTCACAGCTATACCTGACAATCATATGTTAATAGGGTTTGATAGTGTTTTTTTCTATGATTTTTTTTTATTGGTAGTCTCTGGAGTTTTTCAAATATTTAAACTTGACATCCTTTGGAATCCCTGATACTTTCTAAGGTTGGCTATTTGCTTGCAGACTTTTCAAGCAAAGTGCAACCAAACAACCAGGATCAGAGAACACCAAGGATTCCACAGTTCAATCAGAAACTACATATATTCTCTTCTATTGATATTCTTTAGCTTCCCAGGCCAGAGTGGCAACCAAAAAGGAGCCTGTAGCTCCCGTTTGATCGCTTCTCCAAATCAAGCAGCTTTTTCCTTCACAACAGCTGTTTAAACCCCCTTTTTAAAAGTACGTATCAAAAACAAACAAAAAAACACCTCAGTCCTTTATAGTCTATCTGTACGGCGTAGCCCTTTTCCCTAAAGGCTTTTCAGGGATGCTGGGGCTGAAAATTCAGGAGTTACTATTCAGTGCAACAGCACCAAGGCGGAGAAATACTTCTCGGCTGTGTTAGCACTTCACCCCGCCCTGGCTCATCAGATCATAGTTTACTCAATTCCATATTCTGGTTTCGCAGGAAACACTGAACAAAAAAAAAAAATCCCCCACCCCGCCCTCAACGAGATGCGTTCAGCGTTCCTGGCTACCAAAGCAGTTTGTGGTTGATTTGTGATTCAAGGCACTGCGAAAGCACAATCGTCAATTACCAGCCATCGGTTCGGCAAAACACGTGAGCAAATAGCGAAAGCGAAAGGAAACAATACGGTGGAGGGGGCGAGAGACCCTTCCCACCCACAACCACCTGCGAAACGAGCAGCGCCCCACTCAAATGACTGGCCGTACCAGAGCGGACGCCATCCGGATTCCAGACAAAGGAGGAGGGGTCTTTCTTCCCTGAGCCGGTTCCAGAGCCCATCAAATCGCCCGCGCTCTAGGCCGGATCAGTCGAGCCCCGACTTTGCCTCCTGCGCTGCCGACGAGAATGCCTTGGAAAGGAAGCGAGTCCTTCCCCGCTTCTCCTCGAGAAGGAAAACAAGGCACACACTGGCAGGGAGAAAAGGGGTCGCCTCTTTCAAAGCCGAGCTCGGACATCCACGCCATTGGTACTCGACTCTCCTCAATAGGGCCCTTCCGCAGTGGGTGTCGAAGCTGGGCCTGTTGCTTAGTGACAGCGCGCGCGTGACCAGCACATTTCGCCGGTGATTGGTGGAACAGCGGGCGGGTTTCCAGGGAGGAGAGGTTGCGCTAAGAAAAAAATGGTCTCTTCTTCGCTCTGAGTAGTTTTTCTCTTGAAATTATGCTGGAGGGGTTTTGTTATATCCCGTTTTAGTATGCGGAAAACAGACGCTTTCTTCAAGTGGAGCACCTTGAAGCTATCATCCTAATGATTCCAAGGACAGCCCATGTTGTTATTGTGAATTGTGGTTTGCTCCTGTTCTTCACAATCCCTTTTCGAGTTTCCAGTCTAGTCTAGGGTTGTCTAGCGCTCTCCAGTCCAAGTCCTAAGGGAGACAGGTGCTGTTTAGCAGTATCACTGCTGGATTTATTTATGCTGAGAAGGAGAAAGGGCTTAATTTCTCTCAAGCCTGCAAATTATAGAATAAGAACTATAGCAAACACAACTTATGTACAGGTGCTTCAATGATCTGATGAGAGTTTTTGGTACTCTGGGCTTTGTACATTTCATTGCCCAAACTAGGTAACATCAGTGCTAATGTTATTTACTGTTAGCTTGTTTGGTAGTTCCTTGTTTAGAACCAAAAAGGGAACAAAAAGAACAAAACACCTTTCCATCATCAATCAACACTTAGATGAGCATTGACTCCAAGATTAACTTCAGATCAACAATCAAGAAGTAGACAATACCTCCATCAAGAAACTGCCAAACAGCTAACAGTAAACAGCCCCAGCCAAAATACCTCCAAGATCACAGGGCAAACCACTAGAACATATAATAAAATCAAACTCCACTACTAACATTGATGATTCTAGCTCATATTATCATTTACAGAAAAACCTATCCTAAAACCCACAAATTACAGTTCAAAAATTACCTTGGGGAAGTAATTGAATTTTTCTCCTCTTAAGTTTTGCTTTCAGGATATTTTGAAAAGGTACCACCTAAACCAGTGGTGGCGAACCTATGGCACAGGTGCCAGAGGCAGCACTTGGAGCCCTCTCTGTGGGCACGCATGCTGTTGCCCCAGCCTGGCCTCCCCCCTCCTCTCCAGCAGACCCCCTGAAGGAGAGTCGCCTGAGTGTGGCTCACGCGGAGCAGCGCAGCCAAGGACATGGCAATCAGGCAGCGTAGACAAGACTCTGCCTTCACACCCCATTGTGCACAGTTGATGCTGCAGGGCGCGGGCAGAGGGTGTGACTGCGATAGTACTGCTGGGCTGCCTGGGCGATCTGCAGCAGGCCCTGGAGGCAGTGAGTGGCCCTGCGGGCAGGTGGTGTGGGGGATGGGGAGGCGGAGCATGGGCGGGCTAGTTTTTGGGCACTCGGTCTCTAAAAGGTTTGCCATCACTGACCTAAACAGTCTGGTTGGATTGTATAACTTGAAAACAAGAAATAAGATGTTGGAGTATAGCTCAACTATAATGTTTTGAAACAGTGAAAGAGGCACTTAATGGTTGTTTGATGCATGTACAGCATTTGTGCAGCAAAGCAGGATACTATATTGTTTATGCTGTAAAATTCTAAGCAGAAATTGAGAAGAAGTTGCCTGGAAAAGATCAATTAATGATCTTTAAGAAATAAACATTCTGATATAAAGTAGTACACTGATAACATAGGTGAAAATTAATTAACATATTCAACTATGTTAGTAGAAGCATTATTTTATAGAGAAAAATATTGTTTTTCATTATGAAAACTAAAGCTTGATGGCAATCATGACAATCACCTTTTTAGCCAATACACACACACATGTACAGATCAAACGTTTTGATTTCTGAGGAAGGAGTTAGTTAAGCTTACTGAAGTCCAAAAGGGCTAATGAAGCATTGACTTAATTGAAAGGGTGTTTGCTTAAAACATTTATATAACTATTCATATTAATTCTGGGAGGCTCCCAATGAACAGCTAAGCTAAAGCATCAGTAAATACAGCATAATACATGAACTATATTAAAACAATACACAGTAAATGTTCCTTCATCTGTAAAAACTGCTCAACTTTATCTGTAGCAAATTGAAATGTTTAAGTTCAAATGGGCAGGAACACTAAAGGCAGCGTAATATAACATAGTACACTGGAGAGTCTCAAACCTGGATGAAGACAATAACAAACTATTTCTGGTTTGTTGGAGGTCACTTAGGTTGGAGGTCACTTTTCATATAAGAGTAATAAACTTTCACAAATAGATCGGAAGTTAATACAAGGAAATTTGATCACATGTGGACTTAGTATAGAAAGATGAGGCCTTGTTTTCTGATGGACATATATAGTAACAACACAGACAATGAGAAGAATGAATCAAAACTAAATTATCGAAAATGAATATTATATTGTATATTTTAGGATTTTTGTTTTTATTATTGTAAGCATAAGGTCAAGAAAAAAAAACAAGAGAAACAACAGGAATATATTACATTTAGAACATCATTTAAACTTAATTTTAAAAATATAATTTTGACCAAACAAGATAGTATTGATCTGTCTTTTCATAATAATCAGATAGTGAACACAAACACATACTGGTGATCTAGGGTTGTACTGTTCAGTCTTTCCAATTGAACATTTTTCCCCATATTTGCCAAATCTATAACTCTTTTATAAGAATAAATATTCTTGCTGGGAGTATTTATGACTACTGTTGACATCTTAATTTGGAGAGAACTCTATATTAGAACTGATGGTTAAAACGTACAAAGCAACCTGCCCACAATTAGTATTTATAAATACTTATTAGTGATAAATCAATTTAATTGATGAAATCAATTTAATACACACATTTTAAAGAATGAATGGAACAAAGAATTGGTGATCCCCCACTTTGTGTAAACAGTAGGAACTGTCATGTCTGTATCAAAAACTCCACTAGATCTTAGGCTATGGATTAGTCAACAAAAATGGTACAGTATTTTGGATTGATTAGACCCCCATTACATTGATGTATCGAAGAAATGAGTAAATCATTGCTTTGTTGGAATTGCAATGAAAGTAATGCTTCATAAACTGTTAGAAACTGGTTTTCAGTGTCCTAAAATCATATTCTGGGGAAAAGTCATTGCAGATATTAATCTGACAGGATTTAATATTTTCAGATGTCCCTATTCTGTTGAATTACATACCTAGTATATGGAAATTGATGACTGGACAGTGAAAATGTTACCTGCACCTTTCTTTTTGTTAAGAAATTCACTGGAAAAATAAATGTATGGTCCCAATTGCTCAGTGAATTAAAAAAAAATGGATTAAAAATCCCAATTTAAGAACAAACTACTCATAGAGGATTGTAATAGAATATGATTGTGTGCCATCAAATTATTGCCAACTCTTGGTGACCACAGGGAGATTTTCCTCTATAAGTCAACTTCTCTACATAGATTTTCTCCATGGAAATAGAATAAGGTAATCCTTGTTTAGCTACTGCCTCTTACAACAACCATTCACAATTACAGTGGTAATGGAAAAGTAACGTTGTGACAATCCTCACATTTACAACTTTTTTAAAGGAAAGCTGATATAAGATCGCAAGCACAATCGTGATTTAGTTAACACCTACCTCAGTATGGTTGCTAAAGGACTTCTAGTGTAATAATAATAATAATAATAATAATAATAATAAGACAGACCCCCAGTGAGGCACTACCTTGACGTGGTTGTGGGGCTTGTGTACTCTGAGGAAGATGAGAGCTATGCCAGAGGTTCAACCATACTGGACAGGTCTCATCAGAGGAGTCAGACAAAGAGTGTCTCTCCCATAAAAAATATGGTGAGACGTAAATTTCAGAATGCCATACCGGCTCGGACGTCACCCGGGTTAACAAGGTCCGCACTAGATATTGGAGTTCCTGGATATCTGGTGAAAAATGGGTTACAGGACTCAGGACTGTTGGCTGAGCAACCAGGGCCAGCAGCTGCAGAACTACTGGAAGAAAAGGTGTTTACCCGTCGCAGATACACAGTGATGGAAAACAAAGAAATAATGATCTGTTACTACAGATCAAGTCCAACAAGAAGAGGATATCTAAAACGAATGCACCAGTTCTGGAAAGAACAACATCCAGAATCAGAAATAACAGAACAGAGACTAGCAGATCAACGCCGATTTATAACACGAAATAAAGTATTCACAGAAACAGAATTGGACGAACTGCAAAGGTTTACCCAGGGCAAAGAAATCAAAGCCTTACCAGAAGTAATTCAGAATGTAGAGGCAAACCAGGGGGAGTTGGCAGTGAAGGAATCCAGCAGAGATATACAACTGTTCTCATTTGGAAACCAGGCACCTCTTCCTCAGGAAGAACAAAACCCTCTAACTAAAGAAATAAAAGAATTGAAACAAAGAATAACTGAGCATCTAGAACAGCACAAAAACAACAGAATAAGGCTACCTGCATTGAAGCTTGTTCCAAAGAAACAGCTAGCACAAGCATTAAAAGATGCAAATATTGCAATATCAAGTATAAGCACCAATTCACTGCAAGAAACAAACCAACTAATGTACAGCACAGCTGCAGTTATAACAGAATACCTGGGATGCAAAATCAACAAAGAAGAAAAACAAACAAACAGTGCACCAGAAAAATGGAAGGTTAGACTAGAAAATAAGATCAGCAAGTTAAGATCACATGCAAGCAAGCTAGAACAGATGAAAGAAAAGAAGCTGAAGAACAAGAAGACCAAAGAATACCTAATCAAGAAATACCACTTAGAAACAAGGAAGATCAAGGAAGCACTGGAAATAATAAAGCAACAAATAACAGCTATAGCCAGGAAAATCAGTAGATATGAAGCTCGAATTGCAAACTATAGGCAGAACCTCCAATTTCAATCCAATCAGAAACGTTTCTACCAATCCATCAATGGAGAAACTGCAAGGAATCAGTCAGTACCTGACAAGGAAGAAACAGTGCAGTTCTGGAAGCAGATATGGGATAACCCAAAGAAATACAACAAGGATGCGGCTTGGTTAAAAGAGGTGGATGCAAATAAAAC